ACTTAAAACTTTTATTTATTCAAATATCAAAATATTTATAAAATTAACATAAAATTAAACTCATTTCTAAAGAAATAAAAAGAAACAGTAAAAAAGGAATAAGTTAATGTTGACTCTACTATTCTTATGTTATTTAAAATTTTAAGGATTTATTTTATTATTTTGAAAAATCAATACATGTTGATTTTAATGGTATAAATTAAGTATTTTAAATTATAAATAATAATTATTATTATTTTTTAAATGAATTACAATTAAGAGATGGAGGATTTGAATTTTAACTTTTAAAATTAGAGGATACATATTACATATAATCATCAAATCATGAATTTTAGATGTCAATAATAATGATTATTTATTAAATATAAATATTAATTATTAATATCAGTTACACTTGGACGAACTCGTTCCTCTTTAGGCTATAAATGGTTAGGGCTCCCAGGTAGTCCTTGTATAGAATTCCCCACTTTCCTTACACTATGTTTAAAAAAAAAAATTCAAAAAGCATTTTCTTTTATTAGGACAAACAGCTCGAGAGGATGGGGGATAAGAAAGGGAATCAAATCTTTATTATAATAAAAAAAGCTTATATTAAATTACTAGCTCACTAAATCAACATGCCTTTTTTAGTTCAGAAAGTATTATTCCCTTACTTTTGGACATAATAGTAGAAAAGAAAATTATATAAGTGACACCCTAGAGAACATAAGATTTTGCATAGTTTGTCAAGACACTATTATTTTTTATGGCACCAACGAGATGTTGGATCAAGTGGTAAGCGGCTTGTTTCAGCTTAAATAAGTTCTTGAATTCGAAACCTTGTGTACACAGTAGCCCTCGCTGGGAGACTCACCCACCATTTTTAGGTGCGCGACGCGGGTCGGGTCCCGATTAATCGGAACGAAGCCCCGAATACGGGCGGGAAACCAAAAAAAAAAATTTTTATTTTTTATGGCAATCATATAGTAACACTCTTTTTTTATATTATTTTTTCAATATTTTCTAGTGTTCCTCATTTGTATTTTTTTCTATACTTGTATAAAGTAAAATTGTGAGAAACAAATTGAACTCGAAGGCTTTCGAAATCTTAAAACTTCAGGTTGAAGGGTTACACTCAAGTTTAATTTAACTTTATATGGATTTCGCTTATTTAGATTAATAATAATTGATTGTATGCTTTAATTAACGAGCACAATGTATTCTTTAGTAATGAGCGTAAGAGTAGTTTGCTTAACCCTCACTGTACGGCTTTCTG